TCCTCTCCCTCTCCCTCCCTCCCATCTTTCCCCATTCCTCCTTATCTCCCCCCTACACACACAATAATAAAACTTTTAAAAATTAAAGTCTGAGCTTAAGGAGACCCTCTGCTCACCACGGCTGGAAAGCCAAATTCAAACAAGTGAACTAAGAAAGACACAGCTGCCTTCTCTGGGCAGCAGCAAGCTCTACACAGCATCTCCTAAATTCCCAGCACCAGAAATCCTGATCATCCAAGATTCTCCCTCAGCTCCCGGTTCCCATCCCGCCTCTCTACACTGTGCCCAGCAGCTCATAGGGCCCTGGGGACATACATGCTCTGTCAGATGCCTTTGATGCCCAGCTTCTTAGTGAGCATTTGGTTTAGGAGGTGGCTGGGCTCCGCGGTCCTCCAGCCCTCCCTCGTGGCTCAGGGAACCCTAACAAGTGGGTTTCATACCAGCCTCTGCTCCCTCACAGCAGCATCTATCCCCAGGGTCTGAGTTATTTTGCCTGGCTCAACATCCAAGCCCTAGACAGAAGAAGGGAGTACCGGTAAATTGGGCTGTCTCCACCCACCCAGTCCACCTCCAACTAAGGCCAGCAGACAGCCTTGTGAAAGTTTCACTTGCCCCGAGCCCACACAGCTAAAACAGAAAAAAAAAGTTTAATTTAATGAACAAATAGCTAAGAGTAGTGAAATAAAATCATGCATAAAAAGTGACTTTTAAATATTGTCTTTAAATAATTATGGCCAAAGAAAGAATTGGGAAATTTCATCAGAACTTGCTTTAATCCACGCTGTGGTGGTGCACACCTTTAATTCCCAGCACTTGGGAGGCTGATCTCTATGAGTTCGAGGTCAGCTTGGTCTATAGAGTGAGTTCCAGTTCAACCAAGGCTACACAGAGAAAATCTGTCTTGAAAAAAAGAAAAATAAGGAGACCACCAACAACAACTTGCTTAGATATGGTTAAATGTTGAAGAAATCACTTTCCCAACGGTGTGTGTGTGTGTGTGTGTGTGTGTGTGTGTGCACGCGCGCACGTGCACACATAGATATGCAGGTTGCATGCATGTATGTGGAAGTTGGCATCTGGTGTTTTTCCTTGATAGCTCTCAATCTTTTATTTTATTTTTAAATATTTTATTTTTATTTTTCTATGTGTGAGTGTATATGTGTGGGCATGTGTATGTCACAGCATGAATATGGGGGTCAAGAGGAGAGTTTGTGAAAGTTAGTTTGGTCCTTCCACCATGGGGGTGCCCCGGATCGAACACAGATCATCAGGCTTGGCGGCAAACACCTCCACTTTCTGAATGACCTGTTACAGTTAGGTTTCTGTTGTGCTGATAAAAACACTAGCCAAAAACAACTTTGGGAAGAAGGGTTTATTTCATCTTCTGTTCCATATCACACTCCAGCATTCAGGGAAGTCAGGACAGGAGCTCAAGGCAGAACCAAGAGGCAGGAACTGAAGCAGAGGCCCTGGGAGGAGTGCTACTCACTGGCCTGCTCTCATAGTTTGCTCGGTCTGCTTTCTTACAGAACCCAGGACCAGCTGCCCAAGGCTGGGCCCTTGCACACCAATCAGTAATCAAGAAAAGACTTCCATGGGGCTCGAGAGATGGCTCGGTGGTTAAGAGCACTGCCTGCTCTTCCAAAGGTCCCGAGTTCAATTCCCGGCAACCACATGGCGGCTCACAACCATCTGTAATAAGGTGCCTTCTCCTGGCCTGCAGAATATTGTATACATAATAAATAAATAAATAAAATTTAAAAAGAAAAGAAAAGACTTCCAGACTTGGCTGGAGCCAATGTTGGAGGCATCTTCTCAAATTTAGGATCTGTCTTCCCACGTGGCTTTAGTTTGTGTCAAGCTAACTAAACCCTGCCTGCCATCTCTCCAGCCCTTCTTATTTGCTTTTTGAGGCACAATCTTTCACTGATCTAAAGTTTACGGATACAGCTCTAGTAGGCAGTCAATGAGCTCAGAGATCTAAAGTTCATTGATACAGCTCTAGTGGGTAGTCAATGAGCTCCAGAGATCTCAAGTTCATTGATTGATACAGCTGTAGTGGGCAGTCAATGAGCTCCAGAGATCTAAAGTTCGTTGGTACAGCTCTAGTGGGCAGTCAACGAGCCTCAGAGACCTGTCTCTTCTCCAGCATTGGGTTATAGGAACACATCAACCCCTCCTCCCAGGTTTTTATAGGCATTTTTTTTAACCAGCTGAGTAATCTTCCTTTAGTCCCCAAAGGCAAGTCCCTTTTTTTTTTTTTAAATGTTTTTAGATTAATTTTTAATATTTTGTGTGCATGCCTGGTGCCTGTGGAGGTCAGTTTGGAACTCCTGGAACTAAAATTACAGACAGTTGTGAACCACCGAACGGGTGCTGGGAATCAAACCAGAGTCCACTGCAAGAGCAGCAAGTGCTCTCAACCACCAGCTAACGCTCCATTTAGCCCCCCCCCCCCCCCGGGCAGGTCTCAAAGTAGTATTCTGACTTTTCCAGAAACTTACATGCTTAGTTTAGAAATGAGAAGAATCAGCTTAAACTCTTCAATTTAGGGTGCCTTCCTTGTACCCTAGCACATGAAGCCATCCACAAGTAAACACAGGTTTTCCATGTGTAAAATCTTTATGCCTTCTTGTTTGTTTATGTTTTGGGTTGGGATCTCCCCGCTTCTTTCTTTCAGACAGGAGCTCATGCTGCCCACTCTGCCTCCAATTGTTGTGTAGCTCAGACTACACAAAGATCAGATTCTTTGATCCTCCGGACTCTCTCAAGTGCCGAGATTATAGGTGTGTGCTCTTGTGCCCGGAGACCTTCGTAGTTGTTCCTGACAGGATGCATGAGGAACCTGGGGTGGGAAGCAGTGAGGGTCTAATATCTAGGCTACTCGGATGCTCAGCAGGAGGATGTGGGGGGTGGGGGAAGAAGAGAAGAGAAAGTCTGTAGGATTATGTAAGGATCAAAGTACTCTTCTAGGGGCTGGAGAGATGGCTCAGAGGTTAAGAGCATTGCCTGCTCTTCCAAAGGTCCTGAGTTCAATTCCCAGCAACCACATGGTGGCTCACAACCATCTGTAATGGGGTCTGGTGCCCTCTTCTGGCCTGCAGGCATACACACAGACAGAATATTGTATACATAATAAATAAATAAATATTTTATAAAAAAAAAAGTACTCTTCTACACACAACATTTGGATACTTGGGACTGTGGTTTATTGATACCCAAGGTGAGAGTTCATATTTAGAAACCAAGATTTGATAAATCTCTCGCTGGGATTCAACCCCACACACCATCAGTCAGGGCCTAGCGTTTGGCAGGCACCAAGAGACTTCCTGAAGTGGACAGAAATGAATCATGTGAAGCCCCACTTCCTACCCTCCAGACGGCTCTAGAGGGCAGGAGGCTCATGGTCTGGGCCCCTAGTATCCCCAACTAATTCATCTGTGGCTAAGACTTCATTTAAGAAAACCTGATAGCACTAGTCTCTACAGTTGTGGGTGTCGGTCTCAGCTGCAGAACAAAGCTGCTCTGTTCCAATCGCCACTTACTTCTTAAATTGAAATTTAGCCCTTCATTCCCCGTTCTGACAGCCGCCTGCTGCCGGCCTCCTCTGGGCTTACCAGAAACAGTACAGAAACAATGTCTGATCCTGCCTCCTAACCCTGGAACTTTCTGGGACTGAATTCTCTCTGCCTCCTTGGGCCTGGTTCCTTTCCCAACGCTTTCACTTCTTGACCCATGGGCTCCAGCGCCCCTGTGCCAGGCCTCCAGACTGCCAGTCCCACATCCATGAACCCACCCATTCTAGCCTACTCCTATTCCTTCCAGGCCCATCCTTGCTTATCCCTTAGTCTCAATAAGCCTTGGATGCCCATAGTAACCTTCAAGATCGGCATTAGACTGATGTTTGGAATGGAAAAAGCCACTTGCTCTCAGTGAAATTAAAATCTCAGAGATGCCCCTGCTCCCTTTTCTTTGAGACAGGGTCTCACTACAGCTCTGACTAGTCTGGAATACACTACACACCAGGCTGGCCTTGAACTCACAGAGATCTGTTTGCCCTTGCTTCCCAAGTGTTGGAATTAAAGGCATGGGCTATTCCCTGCCAATTGGCAATCTCATAGCTTCTGCTGCAGTTGTTAGGTGATAGGCAGTTTGCTCAGAAAGATGTCTCCCTACCAGCCATTTGCTTTCCCAAGTCTTCTAGGGTCTGGCCCTAAGTAAAGAACCCCATTTATGCACAAGGAACCTTTAAGATAATTGGGCCCACTGACTCTCAGGCTTCAGCATATATCAGAACGACCTATAGGACCATTAGACACCAGGTTCTAATTCTGAGAGTCTGGACACCTCTTCAGAAATGTGCTTTTCCAATCAGCCTCAGGTTAGGAAATATGCTGGTCCAAGGTCTTCAGCTTGGAAACCCTCTTGCATTCTGATCCATTTGTTTTCAAACTTGACTGTATACGTACTTGCTTAGAAAGTACAAACAAAGATATATACGGGGTGGGGGAGAGCGAAAGAGACAGACAGACAGACAAAGAGGAGAGGAGAGCTGCAGACAACGAGTGGAGAGAATTGGGAAGAGAGAGAGAGAAGTAACTGGGTTTCAGATCTGTCCTGAAGCTAGGCGTGGCGGTGTAGATTTGAAATCTCAACCCTCAGAAGATTATAATGAAAACAGATCAAGACTTTAAGGTCATCCTTGGCTACATAGTAACTTTAAGGGTAGTCTGGGCTGAGGCAAAAAAAAAAAAAATCAATCAATCAAACAAAAACCTCACACCTGTGCAAATTCTGATCTAATGATCTGGATTAAAACTGGTTCTGGCAGTGGTGGCGCCTGGCTTTAATCCCTGCACCCGGGAGCAGAGGCAGGTGGATCTCTGAATTTAAATCCAACCTGGCCTACTGTTCAAGTTCCACGACAGCCAGGCCTGTTACACAGAGAAAGTCTGTCTCCAAAAAAACCAACCAACCAACCAAACAAACAAACAAACAAAAAAATCCCACACAAACAAAGTAACTGGTTCTGGGTGTTTTACAAGCTACATATATAGGTGACGTTAAGCCCACACTGAAATTCTCTGCTTTTGTCTCTACAGTCAGCAGAGACTGGCAAGGGAACAAGGTCTTCTCTATCCCTCAAAGTGGACCTGGAGTTGGGTCAGAAGAAAAAAATAAAAACACCCAGTAAAACCTGAATTCCAGACAAACAGCAAACGCTTGGTGACCCTAAGCATGCCCCAACTGGTCCACGGCAGTCTTTTGTTGTCTGTTTCTCTAAGTTCCCTCCCCCTTACCCTGTGACATCTCTGACACACTGAAAAGCCTGGACTTGGGAGGTGGCTCAGCCATCAAGGGCGCACATTGCTCGTACAGTAGAGCCATTGGTTCCCAGCATCCACACTGGGCGGCTCACAACTGCCCATAACTCTAGCTCCAGGGGATAAGATGCTCTCTTTTGGGCTGTGAAAACTGGCACAAATGTGCATACACGTAAAACAATAAAAATAAATCTAAAGAAAGACAGACAACAGCCTTTCAGCTTCCATTTTACAGATAGGAATACTAAGGTCCAGCAGTCCCATAGGAAATCGGAATAAGGTTCAAGGTAAGGAAGGGCTCAGGAGTGTTGTGTTCAGCCTTGAATGCTTTTCTTCCATTATACTTAGTGCTGGGCTGTGTAAGTCTTTTTCAATAGAGGGTTGCTGTCATTTAGTTGCCCGGAGGTGACTTCAGAAGGGTCAAAGTGATTTATGTCCTTTCTGCTGCACCCCAGTCTTCACTTCCATTGCCCCCTTTTATGCTCTCTTGAGGCACAGCCATTCTCAGGGCTGTATCATCAATGGTCATCTCAGGGACGGAGTGGGCTGCAAGGGGCACTGGCCAGGGACGGCTGTGAGCAAGGGCACACAATTAGGTAACACAAGGACAAGTGGGATTTGGCACAGGCAAACAACAGGCAAAGCATGTTGGGAGAGGCCCACCTAATTCACAGAGACACTTGGAATTAGCTGCACATTCTCTGGGAAGAGATCAAGGCAGCGACACAAACAGCTCAATTAAGCTGTCGGCTCAATGCTCAATGCACAGTAATGGTCAAAACACAGCCTTTAATCTAGATACAGAGGGTTATCTCTGGGGTCCTAAGATTAGCTGTACCTGATGTGGAAGAAGTGGCTGGCTCAGTGACATCGCTAGGGACGGGCTTGCAACTCGGCAGGACTGGCACGCCTGTGGAAGGGGCTACTTGGAAGTCCCAGCCTTCCCAGAGTCCCCTCGGGAGGCCCGGAGAACAGGGATGAGTCACAGTCTGCTTTCTCCATTGAAGAGACAGGGTCTGGGAACAGAACCTGGGAACAGACACATCTGCTTCAAAAACACAGCAAGGGAAAACAGTATGGTCCTGGCGCAAAAACCAGACACATCGACCAGGGAACAGAATGGACAGCACGGATATACGCCCAAGCCTCTACAGTAGCTCTCAGCAAGGGCATCAAGAATATGCGGTGGAGTGAGGATAGTGTCTATAAACGGTGTGAGGAAAACTGGACATCTATGTGCTGAAGAATGAAATTAGACTCTTTCTAATTTCACACACACACACACACACACACACGAAAGCAAAACCCAACTCAAAATAGATTAAAGACCTAAATGTAAAACCAGAAGCTATAAAAGCTTAAGAGAAAAGGTCATCAACACTGACCTTGATAATGAGGTCTTTGGATGCCATTGTAAAATAGTGATTCTCAACTGGTGACCATGACCCCTTTGGTAAACATCTATCTACAAAAATATTTATATCATGATTCATAACAGTAACAAAAATTACAGTTATGAAGTAGCAACGAAAATAACTTTATGGTTTGTGGGGTCACCACAACATCAGGAACTGTATTAAAGGTTCTGAGCATTAGGAAGGTTGAGAAACCCTGCTCTAAAAACTCAGACCATAAAAGCAACACTAAACCAAAGAGATGACATCAAACTGAAAATTAACCCGCTACACAGAGAAGGAAACGTGAAAAGGCGGTGCCACTACCCAAGCAGGAGGACCTGAGTTCAGATCCCCAGACCCCGAGGAAGAGCCAGGTGCCTGTTTAGAATGCATCTGTAACACCAGTGCTAGAGAGGTGGGGGAGAGAAGAGATGGGGGGCCTCAGTAGCTCACTGAGAAACCTTGTTTTAGAAAATAAGGTGGAAGGTTGGGCATGGTGGCGGAGGCCCTTAACCTGGCAGGTCTTTGAATTCAAGGGCAGTTTAGTCTACACAGTGAGATTCTGTCAAATTAAAAAAAGAAAAAGAAAAAGAAAAAAATAGGCCCAGAGGCAGAGGAAATGCAGGTGAGCCTTGTTGCCCTTGTAGAGAGCCTGGGTTTGGTTCCCAGCACCTACATGGCAGCTCATAACAACTTCAATTCCAGTTTCAGAGGATCTGATGCCCTCTCCTGGCTTCTGAGGGTATCAGGCATGCACATGATACACAGACTTACATGCAGGGCAATACGCACACACATTAATAAAAATAAAAAAATCATTTAATCAGCAAACAAATAAATAAACAAATAAGGTAGAGGTCAATAGAGGAAGAGACCCACTGCCAACCTCTGGCTTCCACGGGCACACACACGTGCACCTGCCCACATAGTGCACACACACCAAACACACACACAATGGCCAACGTGAGTAGTAAAAAATACTTAAATCACTAATCAACGCGGAAATGCAAATTAAAATCAAAGTAAGATATCACTTCATGCCTGTTTGGATGGTTATGATCAGGAAAATAAGAAATCATGAGTATAGGTGAGGAGGGTGTGAGGAAAAGAAGCTCTGAACTGCTGATAGGAATGAGATTGGTGCAGCCGTCATGGAAAAGCACATAGGTACTTCCCAATCTATTTTTTTTTAATGTTTATTTATTTATTATGTATACAATATTCTGTCTGCGTGTATGCCTGGAGGCCAGAAGAGGGCACCAGACCTCATTACAGATGATTGTGAGTCACCATGTGGTTGCTGGGAATTGAACTCAGGACCTTTGGAACAGTAGGCAATGCTCTTAACCACTGAGCCATCTCTCCAGCCCCTTCCCAATCTATTTTAAAAAGAATCACTGGGGCTGGAGAGATGGCTCAGTGGTTAAGAGCACTGGTTGCTATTCCTTAAGACGCTGGTTTGATTCCCAGCACCCAAATGGCAGCTTACAACTCTCTGTAACTCCAATTCCAGGGGATCTGATGCCCTCTTCTGGGTTCTGTAGGCACTGCATACAAACCTGTACACATAAAATCCACAATTCCTCTGCTGGTGCGTACATAAATAAAATGAAGCCATCACTCAGTGAAGACATCGGCACTCAAGTGCTCACTGCAGCACCAATCACAACAAGCCACGGTATGGAAATAGCCTGAGCATGTGTCACCGTGAACATGTGACACAGGATGAGAAATTCCGTCTCAGGAGGTATCAGGAGTTCAAGGCCAATGTAGCAAGAGTTGAGAGTTGGCTGGGCTACACGAGATCCTGTCTCCAAAACACAAAACAAAAGTTAGGCATGATAATATATGCCTATACTCTAAGCACCCAGGAGGCAGAGGCAGGAGGACTGTCTAGGAGTTGAAGGCCAGCCTGGTCTACAATATTAAGTTCTAGATAACCAGAGAGATACATATGCAGACCCTGTCTCAGAGGGATGGGAGGCAGCAGGGAGCTTAGGCAGTAAGGTGCTTGCTATGGAAACATTGAAGACTTGAGTTGTGAATTTCCCCAATTCACACTAGAAGCCAGGCACGGCAGTGCATCCCGAAACCCCCAGTGCTGAGGAGACAGAGGCAGGATGATCCCTGGGACTTGCTGACCAGACTCTTAAGTTGAATCGGCTTCAGACTCAGTGAGACACCCTGTTTCAAAAAACAAAAGGGAGACTGAATGAAAAAAAGACACCTCTTGTGGACACCTCCTGCCTCCAAATGCACCACACACGAGCACAGGCACAGCCCCCACACATGTGCACACATAGGAACATGCATACACAGAAATAACACATAGAGATCTTGCCAGCTATGACAACACAGATGAATCGGGAGAACATTATAGACATACAAATATTATATGCTCTCACACTTATGTGAAACAATATTTCAAGTAAAATAGCATGGGAACAACAAGCAGGATGGAGCAGCGGTGGGAGAATGAGGTGAGAGAATCTATAACTGCGTATGATAAGTAAGTCCAGGAGATCTAATGTACAGTCTGAGTACTAAAGCTAAGATGGGAAGGTTACTAGTAGACTAGGGTGTAGGTGCTGTCTGGTACAGGCCCATATGCCAGTTATTTGGGAGGCTGATGTATTATTAAACTTTTCCCAGGGAGATGCAACAGACAACTAGTCACCCCAGATAGGAAACTCATCATAGACCAGAGACACCACCAAAACACAATTTGGTGGACCAATTGAGGTTACTTACAGAAACAGGGCTGAGGGGTAACTTACAGGAGCAGAAATGACTCAGGGAGCTGCATCACCAAGGCCCACCCCAGCATGGGTGACAGCTTACAAAAGCTGGGAACCTGGAGCCCACTAAGCATGCGGCCTGCAGGCAGCTCAGCAGGTTGGAGAGTGTCCTTTCTAGGTGTCTCAGTTGGTCTACACCTCTTCCAGGAAGCTAAGCAGGCTTTTGAGTTTAGTCTTAGGGTCTTCTTTGCTCTGCAAGTCTCTGCAGCTCAGTTTCCTTCCCTTTGATGGTGAATTCCCCGTTTTTATTGCTTATTCCGGCAGGGAGGGGCCTAGTGAATCTAGTCAATTTCAGGGACTTCCTGAAGCTATTTTGAGCTGTTTACTTTCCTGCAGGATATAATGATTCAATCTCAGAGGAAACAGTTAACTCAAGGAGCAGGAGGATTACAAGTTCAAGGCCTGCCTTGACAATTTAGTAAAACTTTGCCTTAAAACGTAAAATAAAAATAGGGCTAGGCATACAGTTTAGAGGGAAAATAATGAGATCATGTCCTGTATCTTAAATATATCTTTCTTATTCCCCCCAATACGTCAAGTTTGACAGGTTTCCACCTCCAAGCCAAGACTGGCCACTAGAAGATGGGAGCAGATAGAAATGCCAAACTATAGCCTTCTGTGATCTCTACTGCACACATTCACCCAACAAACAGAAAATGTTTGCCTACCTGCCACATGTCAGGTACTATTCTGGAAATGACAGTGAACCGAAGGGCAAAGATCCTCTAACCATAGTGGGGCAAGATAAAAAGTAAATAAGAAAAATAAATAAAATTGCAGTGGGTGAAATGGGGTGAGCTACACTCCGACAAACAGAACAAGGATACAGGACATTGAGTGTTGGGACTGTACTTGTAGATAAAGCTCTTAGGGAAGGCCTCACTGAGCATGTGGCATTTAAAGACCCAAAGGGCACCAGGGGTGAGCATGGAGCTGTGCCTGTGTGCTGGGAAAACAGTCTAAGTAGAGGAAGGGGCAGGCAGCAGAGCAGCACTCTGGCTGTGGCAGAAAGGAGAACATATTATGAGGGCAGGAGCTCAGTCATGTGAGAATTCGTGAGCCACTGCAAAGATTTTGGTGGCCAGGCGGTAGTGGCGCACGTCTTTTAATTCCAGCACTTGGAAGAAAAGGCAGGTGGTCTGTGAGTTACAGCGAGACCAGCCTGGTCTACAGAGCAAGTTCCAGGACAAGCTCCAAAGCCACACAGAGAAACCAGGCTCAAAAAAAGAAAAACAAACAAACAAAAACAAAACAAAACAACAACAACAAAAGATTTTGGCATTTACCACCTGGAGAATGGAATTAAGGGGGCAGGGGTGAGTGGGATTTGAGCAGAGAAGGGACACCAGCAAACTTACATTAATATTACAGGATGGCGACTGCTGGGTTGAGACAGAAGTAGGAAAACTTCTGTAGTAATCCAGGCTGCATAAGCGGGATTTGTTATTTGTTTTGGTTTTTTTGAGATAAGGTTTCCCTGTGTGGCCCTGGTTGTCCTGAAACTCTTTCTGAAGATCAGGCTGGCCCAAACTCAGAGAACTGCCTGTCTCTGTCTCCGAGTGCTAGGATTAAAGGCAGGTGCCACCACCACCTCCGGTGGGCTGCATGAGTAGGAAGGAAAGGGTCAAGGAGGCTGGGCAGTTGTCTTGGATCTATGCATCCAGCCCAGATTCAGGCCCTAACCTGTTGCTGGATATTTGTACACCGCGTGAAGTATTGCTGTGATTGGTGTAATAAAAACCTGAACAGCCAATAACTAGGCAGGAGGTATAGGCGGGACTTCTGGGCAGAGAGAAAGACTGGGAAGAAGAATCTAGGCACCGAGGGAGACTCCATCAAGAACAAGTCAGACACACAGAATAGGAGAGAGGTAAAAGCCATGTGGTAGAATGTATATTAATAAAAAACATGGGTTAACTTAAGTTACAAAAACTAGTTAGGAACAAGCCTAAGCTACAGGCCGAGCTCTCCTAATCATAAGAAGTTTCTGGGTCATTATTTGGGAGATGGCTGGCGGGAAGAGAAAGACTCGTTAGACTAAACTTCAGGTGTTGATTGTGCCGTTGTGACGATATGTCCTTCCCCAGTCTTGGACATTTGAACACTAGTCTTCTGTTGGTGGTGTTTGTTGGAGGAGGCTGGGGTGATGAGTACTCACTGGAGGGAGTAGATCATTGGCAGCGGCTTCAGAGTAAAAAGCCTTGCCTGCTTTTGATCTGCTCTTTGCAGGATGTGAACTCTCAGCTTCCCATTCCCGCGGCCATGGCTCCTCTCCTCCTCAGCGACTCTTACCCCCTGGACTCATAAGTCAAAACTAACCGTCCCTTCTATAAGTTGTCTTGGTCATGTGTTTTAGCACAGCAATAGAAAGGTAACAAACACTTTAAGCCAGCTTAGCCTCCCTTTCTCCTTAAGTAACTCCTTTAGTTTTCCTCCAGCATCACTGGGCATGGGCTGGCTGCTGTTTAAGGAGCGGCCCAAGCCAACAATCTGGGAGTCATTCAGAGTCCATTACCTAACATTTATTCCGCTACAGTGTTACTTATTCATTCAACGGAAGAGATGGAGTACTTTCTGTGTACTAGGTATCATCCTGGCACCATTTTTTTCTTTAATATTTAAAGGGATGCACAGGTAAGTGCAATAGCAGAATAAGAAAGACAAGAGTCTGCACTGCCTACCTTATGGCTTGCCCCCATGAAGTGCATCCTGCACGCTGCTCCCCACAAGGTCTTTGCAAAAAGCAGGAAAAAATTAAGCAATTTCCTTATTTTAGCAAAGATCATGAGTGATTCCCCCACCCCCTGCCCTCTCACTCCCTACCATTCTACCCCCGCCAGTTCCCCTAATTTGCAGATGAAATTCCATTTCTCTTAGTCTGGAGACAGAGCTCTTCCTCCCCTGTCCTGCCCTTACCTTGCCTTGCCTTGTATCAGTTACTGGGAAGAGAGAAAACTGATATTTGAATTGCCCTAGAGTCCCTGAGGCTTGGTATACAAACAGGAAATAGATGAAAATACTTGATAAATTATCTGAGCACAGTGGTGCACACCTGCAGTTCCAGTACTTGGGAAGCTAAAGCAGGGGGGTTGCTTCAAGATCATAGCCGATTTGATCCACATAGGGAGTTCCAGGTTAACCAGGGCTAAATAGCAAGACCCTGTCTCCTTAAAAGAAAGAAAAGAGAAAAGTGCAGGTGTGATAGTACACAGCTGTAATCCTAACACTTGGGAGATGGAGGCAGGAAGATCAGAAATTTGAGGCTAGCCTCAGCTACATAATGAGGTTTTGAGTATGAGGCCGGCCTGGCCTATATGAGACTCTGCCACAAACAGCAAAGATTGGAGAGTCAACTATAGTGATTTTGTTTGTGTTTTCACAAATAAATCTTGCCTGAAGATCAGAGTGCAGAACTAAGCCACTAGAGGCCAGGGAGTGGTGGCACACACCTTCCAGGACTTGGGAGACAGAGGTAGAGGGATCTCTGTTAGTTCAAGACCACCCTGGGCTACAGGAGATTGAATCTGCCTAAAAGAGAAAGAGAGCTCACACAAAGGTGATCCCAGCACTTGGGATCTTGTGCCTTTAATCCCAGCACTAGGGAGGTGGAGACAGGAGTAATATGGATGGGTGGAGAGAGGAATACAAGGCGGTAGGAGACAGGAGCTCAATGCAGCCTGAGGATTGGCTCTGATGTCTGAGGTGTGCTGAAGACAGTCGCAGTCTGAGGATTGCTCCTGAGACTGAGGGTGCAGTCTGAGCAGATAATCTGAGGACAGGATTTCCCCTTCGATCTGAACATTGGTAGAGGTAACAAGGTCTCTCTAGTGACTGACCACCACACTGCTTTTCTGATCCTTCAGCTTTCACCCCCTAATATCTGATTCTGGGATTAATTTATTAAGACCAACTAGAATTCGTGCTACAATCAACATTCAGTGGACTGAATGGTGTTTTATGAAAGAAGCAGATGAGTCTTGAATTGATGACAACATTTTGGACCCTGTACAAATGGCATTTTCTTTATATTGGCACTAGTAGGAAGTACAGAAAAAGCAGCTGCCATGTTCTAGCCCTTTTGGCCCTGGTCTAATGGAAGAAGCTTAGACAGGGAAGACACTGTAGGCAGAGTTTCTCTGTGTCCCAACAGTCATTCCCAATAACCTCACAGAGGCTTAATATCAATTATAAATGCTCGGCCAATAGCCCAGACTTATTACTAGATAACTCTTAACATTTAAATTAACTCATATTTCTTATCTATGCTTTGCCACATGACTTGGTACCTTTTCTCAATACAAAGCATGTCCATCTTGCTCCTCTTGGTGTCTGCTCACAACTCCTCAGATTCTGTCCTTCTTCCTCCCAATATCCTTAGTTTGCTCTCCCACCTAATCTTATCTTGTCCAGCTATTGACCAATTAGCTTCTTTATTAAACCAATCACAGTAATTTATATTCACAGTGTAAAGGAATATTCCACAGTATTATTTGGGAAGTGGCAGGTGGGAAAGAAAAGTCTGCCTGCAAATGGCCAGAATTCCCATCTAAAATCTAATAAAACTTAAAAAAAGATTCAGAGCACACAAAAACAGAGCCGCCTTTCTAGTCTCATGTGTCTCATGCCAGCCATGATTTGGAGACACATCTCCTGGTTATTGCCTGTGGGCTTAAGCTACCAGCATGTGCCATGAGATAAGTTGTGTGGTGGGAAAAGTGTCCATAGTTTCTTACGCTGGCCACAATACTGAAAAGCATCTCCTGGCAGCTGCCTGAAGGAGGGAGCCAGCTGCAAAAACAGAGGTACTAACCACGCTGCTTAGCAGTTTAAAGGCTCATGGGGTCAGAAAAAGATTATAAATATGCAGTAAAGACAGACTCAGACTTAAAAAAAAACTTCAAAACAGGTTATGGTATGTTTAAAAATATACATAGGCTTAGGAGAGAGAAAAGAAGGGATATATACAGTCATAGATTAAAAATATAGTTTAAAAATAATAAAGCCCTTAAAAAGGGAATAAAGTAATGTAAAAGAAAAAAAAGCTACATAAAGATGAGAAACACAGAGTCTGGATTCTGTATGTTACTGTGTTGTCTTTAGATTTCCTGATTACTAGTGAAGGAACCACAGCTGCTAAAACACACTGGATTATAAAAACTGCTGGATTAAACCTGATGTGAGAAGTCCTTCTGTATATGTGTTGCTTTTATTGGTTAATGAACAAAGACACTACTTTGTCCTGTGATAGGGCAGAGTAAAGCTAGGTGGGAAAACTAAACTGAATGCTGGGAGAAAGAAGGTTGGGTCAGTGAGATACCATGTAGCCACCCGCAGGAGACAGACACACCGGAACCTTACTGGTAAACCACAGCCACGTGACAACACACAGATAAATAAAAATGGGTTAATTTAATATATAAGAGCTAGCCAATAAGAAGCTAGAGCTAATAGACCAAACAGTGATTTAATTAATACATTTTCTATGTGATTATTCGTGTGTGGGCAGTCAGGAACAAATGAGTAATCTCCGACAACATAACTAACCTATATATTCTAAAAAATGTCTTGACTTCAAAATGGAAGTAAAAAAATATGTTACTTTGAGGAAGAGGGAAAATGTGAGGCTGTTGATTTGTTCAAGGTTAAAGAAGATCAAGTTTAATCAAAGAAGACCTCCTGAAATTCTGGCTATAGACATAATAAGCCTAGAAAAACTACAAGACATGTAACATATATTTTACCTGCTTAAACATAAAACAAAAAATTACCTTTGGCTAACTTGTGTACAATGCATAGTATATACTTGTATTAATACAAATACGTATGTTAGCTTAGTCTGTGCATTTTCAGAACAAGGAGCTGAGACACCAATGAAAACAGATGGCCCAGGTGATCCAGCATCTCAAATGCCTTTGTTACAGTCTCCTCAGAATTCTGCATCCAAAACAGCTTTAAGGCTGCTGGCTGAGGTGATCCAGCCTCACAGAATACTCCAGTCAAGACTTAATTATTCTGGTTTAATCACGGTTCCCCCAAAGATATGAGTACCTACAAACAATAGGAAGCAGTCTAGAGAAAAAAATGTCAACTTTCCCAAAAGGGGGATTTTGGATATTTGGTATTGTTTAGAAGGGGTGGTTACAAGTTGTTACTAGTAATGGTCAGAAAAAAATTGGGACAAAGAAGATTAGACCCAGGGATATTGTTCTGAAAAGAAAAGGGGGAGATATAGAAATGATAAGATAAAAATATAGATTATTGAATCTACTTTAATCCAAAAGACAAGTATTAATCTCAAAATATTTTACATTGGTATGGATTTCAGTTTGTTGATACAAATTTAAAGTTATTTTTACTATACTGTATGTATGTTTCTACTCTTGTTTGGGGTATTGTACTTATGCAACTCATTTAAAAGTATAATGCAATTAAGAAATACAAATTAATAGTGATCCATAACAGTCAAACTTAAAATCATGTTATATATGTTTTCAAGGTCATACATGGATATATTTAGATAGATAGATGGCATTCAAACATTTCAAAGACCTACAGTATATGATATTTATTATGTTTAATAACCTTACACTTTTCATGACAGTGAGACATGTCTGCTCCTGACAGCACCCATTTACTTCAAAAGAAGATAATAGGCACCGAAGAACCTCTATATAGAGTTTGCTTTCTTTATGGCAAAAGTTAGCCATTCAAGAAAAGAAAATGCCCTCACCTCCATTGTTGACAGTATACTGTCCAAACTGAACCAGCAGGGCGCAAAAGAAAGTAACTGCCAAACTTTGTCAAGACAAAGTAGACCAGTCCTTCAAAATTCTGTCAGATATTTCTCAGAAAAGTCTGTCAGATATACTAGGCCTGTAGGCCAAAGTTAGATGTCTCAAGGTTACAAAAGAACTTTGGGTGACTGTTCAGGCAGTCAGATGTCCCTGTCATTGGGTAATATTATACCCTTCTGGGGCCTTTAGTTGAGTTAAATATTAAATAATTAGACTTAAAGTTTTTCTTAGTTATGATAGAAAGTAAATTAGGTATAAAACTTTAGACTCACAAAGATAAGTAATAGAGCATGTTGTCAAATATAAATGGACTAGACATTGTAACTGTAATTCTTATTTGATAACTGTTTTGTTGTATATAATTTTACTATGTTAAAGTTAAAATCATCCTTTTCTTATTTAGACAAAAAGGGGGAAATGCTGTGGAACATTCCTTTACACTGTGTAACTATATGTCACAATGATTGGTTTAATAAAGAGGCTGGCTGACCAATAGCTGAACAGGATAAGGTTAGGCAGAAAAGCCAAACTGAGAATGCTGGGAAGAAGGGCAGAGTCTGAGGAATTGTGAGCAGACACAGAGAGAAGCAAGATGGACAGGGCATGTTGTGTACTAAGGAAAAGTCCCATGACACATGGCAAAGCATAGACAAGAAATATGGCTTAATGTAAATGTGAGAGTTGAGCTATTGGCCAAGCATTTAGAATGAATATTAAACCTCTGTGTGCTTATTTGGGAGCAGCTTGTGGGGCAGAAACTTCCACCTACAACAAACAGAAACATAGCTCTCTAAACACAACACCCCCTTCAAAGGAAAATTGAGGCAGGGTAGGGAGAAGGGACATAAACAACACGAGTGCCAAAGCAGGAGTTAGGAGTACACGCTGGTAGTAGAGCCCTCACCTGACAAGTGTGAAACAGGAGTTAGGAGTACACGTTGGTAGTAGAGCCCTCACCCAGCAAGTGTGAAGCAGGAGTCAGGAGTAAACGTTGGTAGTAGAGCCCTCACCCAGCAAATGTGAAGCAGGAGTCAGGAATAAACGTTGGTAGTAGAGCCCTCACCCAGCCAAGTGTAAAGTCCTGTGTTGGATCTCCATCACCTGAAAAAAGAAAATCCAAGAGAGATGGGCATACTTTATTTACAACATTACATAGGGTTGGGTTTGTGGTGTCAAGAGAATGGCTGTCTATTGGACCTGTGCCTCTCGACTCCGTCTGTCACTGGTCCTATTTTCTCCGCTGTAACACCATGTAGCTGGAACTGAAAAGAGAGTGTGTCCATCTCCTCGGTGCTCTGATGATTTTCCAGCAAGCATGTGGCTCCCAGGAACACTGGGCATGATGCTTCTCCACTATCTTTCTTAATATTTTCTCATTTCTTTTGAGAGTTGTTAGTTCTGACTTCACCACTGAAGGTGCGTCACTGTATGTTCCCAAGGAAAACACCCATAGACTTTTTGCTTGTATGAAGTAAATACCACTTTAGGCCAGCCACCCCATCTGTAAACCAGGAATAACATCAGATTGCAGGGGTACTGACTGTGGTTAATTATATACAGTGTTTAGGAGCAGGGCAGTTACACAGGGACTCTGGAAGTTCTTGGCATAATACTATAGCATTACAATAATTCTGGCTTGCAAATTATAGCCCAGAAGAAGCATTACAGGGGAAAGCATCTCTGACTCCCTGGCCAGCTGAGAGCACAATGTGAAAAATAAGTTGTGAAATACAACTTCTCTTCCTAAACCTTCAGAAAAGCAAAGATAATGCTGCCATGTGCAGCCCACATGCAGGGAACAGGGAACAGGCATCCAGATACTGGGGCGGACTTTCTTGGCCCAGGTGTCCTGGCGTACTGCCAGGATCTGGCCTCTTTTCCTTCCTGAACCTGGGAGCTGAAGGGAGGTGGGGCTTCAGATGAAGATGTCCTGGCCTTTGTGTGTGTGTGTGTGTGTGTGTGTGTGTGTGTGTGTTTTCCTTAATTGGGGCCTCTGTCCATGCAGAATGATTAAGTGATTTTGCAACAGAGCAAGGATTTAAAGGGTAATTTGAGACATTTAAGTCTAGGGATACCCAAAATAAACATCTAAGCATCAACTTTTGGGGCCTCTGCCTATGTTCCAGACACCATATGGGCAGCCTTGTGGTGTGTGCACACTTCAGGACTATTTCCTATGCTGAATGAATAGGTCTCAGGTAAGAAGTAAGTGGCAGTGCTTTCTGAGATTGTTGGGATGGGGTAACATAGTGGGGTTTAGAAAATTCAAGTGCTCACAGGGAATGAGAGAGGCAAATAGCTTGAGTGTGCATGAATGACTACGTAGGCGGAACACAGCCTTCTGAGAGCTGGGCCTGGCTGTTCTTCACTGTGGTCACAGGCCTGAACCTGGGTAGAGCCAGAGAGAGCCTGGAAGAGATGACACTGTGACCCACCAGTCCCGCAGTCTCAGGATGGGAGCCTGATCTCTAACTCCAGCACATTCTTGGACTTGCTGCCTACTTTAATAGATTAGTACTCCTACAAGACACCGGACAAACAGTGTGCCAAACTCATAATGTCCAGATGACAGATGGAGATTATGGGTACAGAGTGCTACTTTGGCAAATCAGCACTCTTAAGGAATGTCTCAGCTCCCAGGGACGTGCATCTTAGCCCTAAGCTATATGGGGAGAGGGGGTGCCCAGCCAAATTTCAAATAGAATTAAGGTTTACAAGACAGGTGTCTTATTTTTAGTTAAGAATTTTGGTCTTGACAAGGATCATGCTTACCTTCTCTGAGAGTAGACCCCAAGGAAAGTTACCTTTGGTCTCGGTTCCTCACATTTGGGCAATAACCACATTAAGTCACATCATTATGGAGCCACCAGAACCCAGGGCTGGTATCTAAGTCCATCCCTGTGATGTACCTGGGGACTCAGTTTCTCCATCTGTAAAATCGTCTCTGGATCAAACAGAGCCTCGCCAGCTCCTGCAACCTTAAGCATTAAATGTTTACATAGCTGGTTCCACTAGGATTGCAGTGAACAGGGTTAAAGCCCCACTTCCTGCAAGGTGAAAAGGTAAGCAAACATTTCGACCTCCCCTTAGCCTTGCTCCCGGATTGGTGCCCCGTCGGGTCCCAGCCGCCTATCCCGTCTGCATCCGTCATCTGGATTGCTAATACGTTCATTAGCATAAAGAGTATTTCGAAGACCCGGCGCCGGAAAAACTGAACCGGAGTCTCTGTTCCTTTAAAAAGAAAAGGGACTCACACTCTTTGGTTAAGGGCATCTCCTCCGCACGGTCCTCTCTGTCAACTAGAGAGACCGTGCGTTGTTCTACTCAGCCGACTACCCCAACGCTGGGCTGGGCATCTGTTTCTGGGGTGCACGGGGCCCTGGTCCCCGGGAACTACGCAGACAGCTTTGGCCTCGGAGAGCCACAGTCTCAGTCGAAGGGGGGGGCAGGGCAGGACACGGGATCCCTCGGGCACGACCCGAGTGCTGGCGCCCAAGCGGCCGCGGGAGGTGGCTCGTGCTGTGG